GACCAGGACCAGGAGGAGGGAGGTTCTGGTTCTACAGGACCAGGACCAGGAGGAGGGAGGTTCTGGTTGTAGAATAAAGTGAAATATTGTGATTTGAAGCTCAGACTTGGTTCTTTTTCCAAACAGAACTCCAGCACGATGAGTTCAAGCACTGTCTGAAATATTAAACTCTTGTGACTGGTTCTGTTTCCACAGGTTCTGGCTGATAGATGGAGTCTCTGAGGCGATCCTTCTACAGATGACTTTCAGGCTGCCGGCAGGTTCTGAGGCTCACAGGGTTAAAACATAATGAAATTACGAGTCGCTCCATAAATCAGAGGCCTCATTAGAGCCACTACAGCGAGCTACTGTTCAGCTAAAGGTCGGCGCACACACACCCGGCGGGCGTGGGTTGCTAACGCTGTGAGGACGCCCTTCATGCTACAGTCACATCAGGGAGATTTCTGAGGGCAACGAACTCATTCACACACGGTTAATGTGTCAACCAATAATTAAACCCAAATGTTGTGATCATCGGTTATTCAGCTGCAGTCATTCTGTCATAAAAAGCAGCTGATCCGTTACTGCGTTTAGAAGTGTGAGCGCTGGACGCTGCAAAATTCTGGTTTTATTTGTTGACATACGAGAGAACTTTAGATCATCAGCCCCAGAACCAGAACAACAGCCAGAAGGTCTGTAGGAATAAAGTGTTGGATGAGACTCGGGAGGCGTCCACACGACAGCAGGAGGGTTAGAGATCAGAGCCGAGAGGTAAACACTTCTTCATCAACAACAACAACAACAACAACACACATCCAACACCTGTTCAATAATAATAACACAACCCCAGAAAATTCACCAAACGTCTACAAAGGAACGTCCCAGAAACTAAGAAAAAAATGTCTAAAAGACAAGAATAAACAGAAACAATAAACACATGAATAAACTTTCTGAAAATCAATAAGGAGAGAAAATATTTTTTAAAATTAACCAAATGTCCAAAATATATTCATGAGATGCCCAGAAAATCCGTCTGAAGCATGTATTACTGAACAACAATAAGATATGAGCAGCTTCAGGACGGTTTCACTCGGGATAAAGTCGAGTCCCGACATTCAGAGACAAACACTCGACTTGAGCTTCAGAACCTTTGTGCCTGAAACACGAACAGTTTCTGGTTTCTCTCCTCTGTGACGGTAAACTGAAGGAAACTCTGGTCCACATTTTCAACATTATCTGACATTTTA